TTTGTGTGTGTGTGTGTGTGCGTGTGTGTGCGTGTGTGTGTGTGTGCCCTTGATACAGGCGTGTTTGTCTGCTGTGCCCAGGCATCATTCCCCTGACACTATCGGGCCGAACAAAACGCCTGTATCAACGGACACTATTGATTGTCGACAGAGGGCGTTTTGTTCAGCCCTAATTGCCGTTGCTTTTCCTTTTTTTTTTCTGATTTGTTTTTGTCTTATTTTGGAAACGGTTACAGCCTCGCTCCACTGCTGTACACATGCACAAAAGACTAAAATATGGCGGTGTATCTTTCCATCTTGTAGCGGAAGATTCACTCTCATTTTGCACATTTGGAGAGTGGTGGAGCGAGGGCCATACAACGGTAGCCTGGGGCCTCGCTCCACCACTCTCCAAATGTGCAAAATGAGAGTGAATCTTCTCCTAGAACATGGAAAGATACACCACCATATTTTTTGTCTTTTGTGCATGAGTAGTGGAGCGAGGCCCTTACATCGCACCCAACTACAGCTGGACTTGCAGCCCTCATGTGACAGAGGGCCTCGCTGCACTACTCTTGAAATGTGCAAAACGAGAGTGAATCTTCCACTTGAATATGGAAAGATACACCGCCGTGATTTTAGGCCGTTGTGCATCTCGAGAATAGTGCAGCGAGGCCCAGAGGCCAATGGATTCTGGTGGCAGGTTCGACTACTCTCCAATTTGTGCAAAATTAGAATGAATCTTTCACTAGAACATGGAAAGATACATCGCCACGTTGTTGGTTTTCAACTTGTCACGGACATTCTCTTTCTCTTTTCTTTTTCTTTTTTTTTTCTTTTTTTTTGTAGCGAAAGGACCGAGGAGACACAACTGTCAGTTCTGTCGTTTTCTATACGTGGAATGAGACAAAAGCAAGGGTTCCACAGATGCGTCCTCATCATGACCGTATTGGACCTCGGAAAGGGCTCAGATACACTGAAGATAGCATGGAGTTGTGTACAGCGAACATGACGACACACAGGTTTTAGGTTTTGGGGCGGCGCGGCCCTGAAAAAAATTTGCGCGCGCAATGTCCTAATTTTGGCTGGGCGTGGGAACTTCGATTCACGCCCTCCCCAACTTTTTTTTTTTTTTGGCTGACCTCGAATTTTGCCCATGCGGCGCGCAGGGTGCGCGCGCCAGGTGCGCAACGCGCAGTGCGCCGCACGTGCGCAAGTGGCGCGCACGGGATGCGCCGCAAGTATGGTTTACTTCAATTTACTACGATCTTGGAGATTTTTGATAAAACATCGGAATCCAGTGTGCTGGCTTGATCAAACACTACGGACAGGAACTGCCTTCCTAGCGGTCTGGCACAGAATGCCGGAATGACCTTGCTGTGCTGGAAGAGAAGTTGTTGCAGGCCTCAATAAAAATATCTGGAATCATTGTTTGCAAGGAAAATCATTAACAGCATCAAGGTACATCGTGCTGGTGCAGCTGGGTCTCTATTTATGCTTAGTTCAGTGTTTAGAACATTGAATGAGTGGTTGAAAATAGAGTTACTATATGGGTATGCAAACAGCAGCCTGAAAAGGTGGTGGGAAGGGATGGAGTGTAGGTATAACACATGCCCTTGCTGTGCTGGAAGAGAAGTTGTGGCAGGCCTCGTAGAAATCTCTGGAATCATTATTTGCAAGGAAAATCATTAACAGCATCATGGACAGGAAGTGCCTTCTTAGCCATCTGACACAGAATGCAGGAATGATCTTAGAGATTTTTGATAAAACATCGGAATCCAGTGTGCTGGCTTGATCAAACACTATGGACAGGAACTGCCTTCTTAGCCGTCTGGCACAAAATGCAGGAAGGACCTTGACCTTTATTGTTAGGGCATATGTGAGTGAGGACTTCGCAGGATGTTTCTGACCAAAACTACGACCAGAGCGAGTTTAAGAACAAAAGCCTAGTGTGAGCATGGCCTGAGATGCAACAGTTATAAAGAAAGACATAAAAAACAGTCTCATCCAATATCTATGACCAGATTTACAGAGTTCCTTATCTGGCACCATTCTATGCACCTCTTACCGTTCTCCATTATGAATCCATGATTGGTACAGGCAGGACAGAATGTCCAAAATTTGGCCTCCTTGTTAACTGCCACACTTTGCTCAGATACTGGTACTTTAAAGGTGTGCAAAACTATGATCCTTTCAGTGGTGACTCCACCACATCAAATCAACTTTTGTCTGTTCTTTGACACCAGATTTTGACTCATTTCCATCCTTAATCACCATGTATTATTTGAAAGTTAACAGAATACGACAATAAGCTTATGACATACTTCCTAGGTTAGGAAACCTACAGCTCAACGAGTCCTGTGAGGTCACCGAGCTCCGACGGTATAAGGCCTCCAAATTGGTTGTAACGCAAAAACCTGCAAACATCCACACAGCCGAGGAAACCAGAAAAAAAGGCATAAGAAATTATTAATTAACTAAAAGTTTAAAACATAAAAACGTGCGAGGATTCACCTCCTCGGCATGCCCCTGAGGGGCCCCTGCAACAAGCATGTGCCAGGCCTAAGCGAATGCAGGCACCTGAATTTCGATGAGGCCTGTATTTGTAAATTTTGCAAAGTCTTGGTCGGCGCCAGACAGTTGACACGCCAGTTGGTTACATCCGCCCTGCTCATGAGAATCAGCCAAACACACATGAGCCCTCCAGGCTCTTCCGAAAGCAGACGAAGCAAGGTGCACCACACGTGTGCACCTGGGTGGTTAGGTTCTCCTAACCAAGTTGGTCCCAGGCCAGTCTGAAAAGGCCTGGGGCCAGACACTTCGGCCGAACGTGAAGCTACAGGAAACGCGTGCGCCCCAGGCCAGCGGAGGGAAAGCCCAGCTGCTCTCCATATAGGAAAGCAGCCAGGCCGTGAGTTTCATTCGGGCACTTGCTAGTGCAAGCGGCAGCGCTGCTGGAGCGTGCGCTCGTGCCTACCTGCTAGCGCTAGGTGTGCTAACAATAGCTCAGCCCTCCATAGCCGGGCTGAGCTTGGTAGTTGGTCGGGCTGAGCTTGGTAGTTGGTCAACGGGTATGGCAGAGGTCTTTGGGTTAGAAAGGAGATGCGGGAGAGAAGATGCGGGCGATGAGAGAGAGAGAGAGAGAGAGAGAGAGAGAGAGAGAGAGAGAGAGAGAGAGAGAGAGAGAGAGAGAGAGAGAGAGAGAGAGAGAGAGAG